CAGTCTGTAGAAAGTTCTACCTTTGCTGGAAGCTGTTTACGTCATCTGATGATTTTTGAGTGACTTGCGAAATTTAGGTGTAACCAAGAAATTTCATGATGTACCCCAAAGCTGTTTGACTTGCATCTGGCAAAATTTTATGCTTTGCTGCTCTGCCAGGATGTATGCAATTCTGTTTTGCTAGCATTTACCACATGGATTATGGTAGTTGGGAGTCAGGGAATGGTAAAACAACATTCACTCCAACAGCTGTATTTCTAAGAAAGAGCTGAGCGAAATAGCTTGAAATACCAACAACTGGATCTGCTTGATACTGTAAATAAAAACAGAACATGGGTTGCAATCAAAATACTATGACTGACAACAGTGAAGGTAAACAGCTAAGTCCTGTTTGCTTTTCTTCTGCTGCTCCTTCCCAAAAGCTTTCCTTGTAATTTGACTCCAATGACTGGTTTCACAAAGGGAAATCTGAGCAACTGTGAAGTAGTTACTGAGCCCTTGCCACTTTGAACTCACTGAGACAAACTGTCTCTGAACTCAGTTTGAGTTAAAGGACCTGCTTTCTAGGCCTTCAATGGACAAGCCTTGTGGGGAGGGATGAACTCCATGAAAGGTATAGGATACAAAACTGGATACCACTAATTTCAGTCATCATTTTTGTTATATTGTCATGTGTGAGTAAGACCTCCTCAGTCTGTCGCATGAATTCAAAATGCTTCCATGAAGATTTAATTCTCTCTGCCTATGTTGTATTGTTTTTAGTCTGGACTGAAATGTACATCATCTATGCCAGCAAGGAGTAGGCATAAATTTCGTGTAACTTTGGCTTGCTTCTAGCTCTGCTTGATGGATTGTCCATAGTCTTGAAATCTAGGTCAGTTTTACTTTCTTAAAGTGCGGGGTCGGGGAAAAGGACTGGCAACTCTGTTTTGAGCTGGATTCTAGACATGGATATGCAATGTAGAAACTGTTGTCATTGTGCACTTATAGCAAATACTTAAGTTTTTTCAGGGCAGCTAAAGAAATTGAGAAGGAAGTTTCAGAGAACTTCATGGAACTGCACTGACGTACAACAAATTTCTGATAAGATGCAAGGAAAATTTCACTTCCAGCATTTGGCAAATTGTCAAATTGGTATTGTCAATATAGGCATTGAGAAGAATCTTTGTTTAAAAAGAAAAAGACAAAACAAAAAAAACCCCCAAAACCACCCCCAAACAATAGACTTTGGACTCTTATCTTAGGTATTTTTGTGTTTTAATCTATATGATACATGCAGTTTGTACTTTCAAACTTCTAGAAGAGAACTAGATACTACTGGGTGTTTGTGGTGTCTTTGTTTAACCAAACTCTTAGAGAATTACAGAAGCTGAAACTATTTTTCCTTCTCGCTGAATAGCTGTTCTTTGCTCTATCCAGCAGGCTAAGAAGATGGGGAAAGGAACTTTGTGGGGTGCTCATGTCTTGTCTTTCCTGCAGTACAAGCAGACAAAAAGCTGCAAAACTGGTTATAAGGAAAAACCTCAGCCTAATCAGAAAGTTTTCTTCTTGCTTTTCCATGGAGAAAATACTCCCCAGCAAGAAGCTTAGAACATACTGATCATCTTCTAATTAGTGGCAGATAAGAGTGCATGAGACCTACAAGGAAGGTTAAAAGCCAAAAGCAGCAGGAAATCTCAATCTCCTCCTGGTTCTTCTAGCTGCATTCCTAGACGGCTTCTCAGCGGCTGTATATGCCCTCTGACTTCTGCGTGTCCCATTTCCTTTAAATTTCTAGACTTGTCAGCCTCATGTTCACTGTTGTTAAGTAGCAGGGAGCAAGCAGAGAAGTAGCTCATCCTTTATCTCAATTCAACTGGTTTGCCTCTCATCTCCCAAGAGTCTGAAAATGAATATGGATGGGTAAAAGTTGTAACTATGAAACTGTCTTGGTAAGTTTTGCTTGAGAGCTTCTCTTCCTCTGTGCTGCTCTGGGCAGGTACAGTGTTCAAGAAATTATGGTGTCTTTATTGTGTTAACGAGTACAGTTTCTTTGGAACCATGAGTAATGGCCACTTCAGTATTATTTAAAAGCAGAAGCTTGTATTCTATGGAGGCTGTTGCTTCCCAGTTAGTTAGGGAAAAATTATCTTAGGAGGCAAGAAAATCTGAACCCCAAGTAGGAATCCTGTTTTTTCCACATGTATACTGTTGGATATAAATAAAATACAGGTTTCTCAGATAACTGTTCTGTATTAGCATGAAGCTCGACAAGCCTTCTGTCTGAAATAAGGAATGTGTAGGTATTACATCTTAAGGGGAAAAACAAAATCTTCATTCCCTTGGTATTGAAGTATGGAGAAGGTAGAGTTGAGTGAATCTCTACCTTGTGTTACACTGCAGTGTGTCCGAAATTGCTGAGCCCATGTAAAATTCAGCCTGAAGAAACAGGATCTTATTAAACCAAAAAGTAAGAAACAAAACAAAAAATCCCCCTAACCACAAAGCTAAAAAGGAAAACCCACAAAACTCTTTTGGGGTTGTGTATTTCTAGTCATGAATGTGGCTTCATGTTTTGAGACTTTGCCTGTTAAATAGTATGCAGAGAACATTTGTTCTTGACATTCTATCTCTATACCTTTGCTACAAATGCAAAGAGCAACTTCTGGAAAGGTTAATTAATAGCTATGGAAATATGAAATGCTTTCCTTTGAGCAACAAGGTTTTATGTTTAAACAGATTCAGTGAATATGTGCTGTATTGGTGCTTAAAATATGGTAAAAAGTCCTTTCTTCTGGAAAGGTAAGGGGCCTTTTTAATAGAGGCCTCATAGGAACTGCCTGAAATCTTGTGTCCTGTCTGTGTGCTGTATAGTGTGGAGGATATTGGAGGAATGAGTATTTCAGCTTTATGATGGACTTGAAAGAGAAATGATCTGGTTTTGGAGTTTAGGACAAAGAGTGTGTCTGTTTCAGGAAAGTTTTGAGGTTTAAAACTCCCCACAAAAAATGAAAATGGGAATTGACTCATATCCTCTATGTTACTTTCTTTTGAAGACTAAAGATCCTACCTAGGCATAGCAAAGAATGTCTGTATGTATAAATATATAAAGTGTATATATCCATCTATAGTTAGTTGATAATGCTTTTTTGAGTAGTGAACTTAGATATATCCTTTTATTGAAGAAACTTACGCTTTCCAGACTGAATGAAGAAATACTTTTTGTATGGTCTAATAGAACTAGAAGTAACTTGCATCAAGGGTGTTGTAACTTGAGCAGAAATTGTTTCTTAGTTGCTCCTGACTGGCTGTTCAATATAAAATAGCAATAATGATTGTTAGAATTACCTTCAAATTGAAGCTGCCCCCCTGTTGCAAGCTTTATTTTTCATGCATTCTTTAAAAACTGTATATCCTCAGAAATATTTTTTTTTAAATAAACTGAACTATATGCAGATTGGTACAACTGCAAGAGAAATAAATCGTGAAGGCAATGGGATTTCCTCCAGTGGTTCTCTGGAAATAAAGTATTACTCTTCATTTTCACCTGGTGACAACCTTCTGTCTGAACAATGCGTAATCCACAGTTTATGCAAATTAACCCTTTTCTGTGTGATCTTATCATGCATGTGTGCATACAAACGTGGGAAATATAAAAACTGTGTTTTGTGAGTGCAATGCAAATAATCAGAACAAAGCAGGCATACTCTCTGATGGGTCATGTAACCCTGTCCCAAGAAACGGGGCATGAGATACATTTATAATTGTGCTCCTGAGGCATTGTGTGAAATTTAGGAGTCAAAGCAACACTGCCGTGCTGTGCACTACAAGGGAGCATGGCTGTTAGTGAGCCTACAATGACCATAAGAGACAGAAACCTATCATAACTATCATAAAATTGAAGACCTTTAACCTCCTCTCCCCTTCATTACTTACAAATATCTATGTGACTACTTGTAAGTGTAGTACTAATAAATTTAAAAAAAAAAATTAAACGTAGGCTAGGCTGACTCTCTGTTTCAACCAAATAAAGTACTAGGGCCAATGTACTTCTATAAAGCCCCTCTGAAAAGGACCAGACTAGGGAGGCACAGTTTTTTGGCAAGCGGCATAAATTTGCAAGGAAATGGTGCTTCTGGAAGGATGTACAGCATTAGAATTGGCAAGTGCTGTGCATACTGGCACACTACAACTTCTGTCAAAAACCAGCAAATCTTTAAACACTAGCTGATCGGGGATTGTCAGGGCTATCTTGTCTAGCTTGAGCAGACCTGGCAGCGCTTAACACAGACTAGTGTCTGAGTTAAAGACCTTCTGCTTTGTGATGCCTTTCTGAATAGCTTATTCAGCTGGAAAACACAGTGAACAAAGGAGCTGGAAATATTTTGTCAAGTTGGTGATCTCACAGTCCAGAGAGCCAGCTACCAATTATAAAGACTTCTATTGTATAACACAAGAGCTAGTGTATAGAAAACTCCAGATCTTACTCTATCTCTTTCTTTATTAGCTTCTGCATAATTATTTTTGCCTAAAGGATGGTGTGAATGTGGCTGTGGGGTGTGTTCTCAGTAATTAACTACATTTTTCTAATAGACTAGGTTGAATAGCAAAATGGGGTAATTTTTTTTTAACTTGATTTCTGACTTGTGGGGATTAGGAGGGAGGGAAGGCTACAGAATTCACAGTGATTAAGTTTTTACAACTAAGTGTAGCAAACAAATAGTATTGTTTCTATGGAGAGTGGGAGGAGGGAAAAGTGCCCCCCCCCAGTTAATTTAGTAGAGATGTTGGCAGGAAGCAACGTATGATTTCTAAAGCATTAGACTAACCGCGATGTATAGTGGTTATATAGTGGTCTCAAAATATATAGTGGTCTCAAAAATAGACACAGCAACAGCAAACCCAGTGAAAGGAATTATCATTATTACAAATCAATTTTTTTATTTCTATTTTGCTATTTGTTTTCATCTAGGCTTTACAGTGAGATTCTGTATCTTAAGTATGACTTCTTTCTCCCGCAGGTTGGAAAAGAAACTGTGCAGACAACAGAAGACCAGATCTTGAAAAGGGATATGCCACCAGCATTTATCAAGTAAACTCATTTTATTGTAAATCTTCTATTGTAGGTACAGGAAACCTGTTCCAATGATAATCATTGTAACTCATTTCTGCTGTACAAACTAGAAAATACTCTTACGTTTGAATAGCTCTTTGGGGTCTTGAGGCTGACCTTTGTCAGGAGCGACCTTTCTGCCAACAGTGACTTTTCCTGTTACACTCTCTATATACGGGTACATATCTAGGATATTTCTTCCTTACTTGTGTGCTGTTGTAGTTTTGCCGAACAGTGTCAGAGATAACATGGTGTTCTCAAATCTCTTCTATTAATTTGGTTGGTGGAAAAGCGTGAATTTGTCAGTATAGGCAGCTGATGCATGATCTAATTGCCTGGAAATCTAAGACATTTGAAGAGCAGTGACTGACACTCTTAATTTGTGGCTCAGTGTCAAGTATAACTGACTTTCTCTTTCTGCTGCCTTAAGTCTTAAAAATCATATATCACTTCTTGTTGTGGAATTGCCAAGCTTCTTACTGTCAACTGACAAACTTTGACTTTGTGAAGTGGCTTTGCCCTACAACCTACTGAATGTAGTGACTGCTCTATTAGTGTTGTCTAATTTGTACAGAATGACTGAATATTTTACTGTATTCCCAAACACAAAACAGGCAGATAGTCAAAAAAAGAAAGCATTGAGGCAACTAAGCAAACACTAAAATGGAGAACAGAGATGATGTCTAAAGAGAAAATTTCTGTTAAGCAGTGAAAAAAGGACTTAGTTTGTTACATTGTACGTTGACAAAATGAATGATAAAAGAAATGCCTAGGATCAGATGGCATTAGTGTAAGAGTTCAAGAATGAAATAACTGAATTATTAGTGAAGTAAAGTTTCTTAACTTGAGACCACCCAGTATGTCAATCAAGGTGACGCTACTGCCTGAGAAACTTTCTAGGGGGATCTGGGGAACAGGAGGTCTATAGGTCTGACATACCTTTGGAGCAAATGACTGGAAATTCTATACTAGAGAAGAGAATTAACAGATCCCAAACACATACGATTTGCTTTGGGTGAATTGGCAGTGGAGGGAAATTCTGCCTTATAAATCTGTTGGTGTTCTTAGGAATATCACAAACAGGGATAAGGGTAATCCGGGTGATACAGTATATACCGATTTCTAAACTTTCTGGCAAAGTCTGAAGGCTTTTAAGAAAATGAAGTAGCCACAGGGTAATAAGAAAAGTTCTTGTATGGAAAAGAGAAAATTGAAAGTGAAAGGAAAAATTACGTGGTAAACCCTGACAATGGTGGGAGGTAATGAGTAGGGCTCTAGAGATTTCTGCTGGGATTGTGGTTTTCACCATGTTCACAAATGCCCTGGAAACCAGGATGAGCTATGAGTCGAAAGTACTTGCTGATGACCTCAAGTCTTACACAGGGTAGTGAGATTAATGGACGACTCTGAGAAATTATAGCAGGACCTTATTAAACTGAGTGACTTGATATTAAGTGTGGATGAAATTACTTTGAAAGATCTGAAATAATGCACATATGGGAGAGCAGCAGTTCTAGCTTCAGATTGGATGATTGACTCTGAACTGACCATTACCAATAGTGAGCAACATCTTGGAGCTGTGATATATTGGTAAGAACATCCATTATATGCTCAGTAGTGGTCAAACAGTAAACCAAATGCTAGGTTTATCAGTAAAGAATGAGAGACCAAAATTTCACTCTATATTTTTCTCCCACATCTTGAATACTGCATGCACTTGTGGTCCCTAAATTTTAGAAAGGCTGTAGTAGAACTGGAAAAAGCTCATAGAAGGACTTTGAAAACAATCAAAGGTATGGAATTGCTTCTGTATAAGGCAAAGCTAGGTAGGCTGGAACTCTTCAGCCTGGGAAAGGTGACAGAGGGGATTGGGGGCCTGACAAAGGTCTAAGGAAATATGAGTTACATGGAAAAGATGGAAACTTGCACTTCTCTTCCTGTGCAAGAACTTGATGGGGGCATTGCTTTAAGCTAGTAGTTTATAAACCAACAATAGGGAGAGCTTCTTTGTACAGCAAGTTATGTACTGTTAAAATTCTTTTTATAGGTTTGGAGGTTAATAGATAAGTACTTAGAGGAATCAAATAGACAAACTGCAGGAAATCCCAAGAACTGAAAATAGTTGGAGGATGGGAGAGCGCCCAGAGGAAGTATGACAAATGCTTATCCTGTTCTTAACCTTCCTTAGGCATCTAGTTGCAGCTACTTTTGGAGACAGGATACTGAGCTAAATGGGCCTTTGATACAATCCACTACAGTATTTATTGTGCTGTGTTGCTGGTGTGTGATCTTGTTTGGGTGTAGAGGGGTTTGATTTTTTTTTTTTTTTTGAGAGGAGTGTTTATGTATTGAAATGAGACCAAAACTTTTTTCTTGCTTCTGATGAGTTGTATACAAACATGTAATTTTGATTGTGCTCATTTTCTAGGATGTATAGAGTTTTTAGTTAATTTCCAGCTTCTTGTTCACCTAGACAAGTAAGGGATTAAGGAAAAGAGATTTACTTATACTGCAACCAGTCTTTGATCAACACTTAGCAGATTGTGGAGACTTAAGTAGTTAAATTACAGTATAAATGTGATAGAAGCACTGCTGAATAGTACCACGTTATGCTGGGTGCAAGAATTTTTCCTGCACCAATTCATGACTGCTTGAACCTGTGATATAATGAACAATGGGAAACAAAGCATCTGTCACAGTAATGAAACTTACTTCACATAGTACTTACTTACTATCCTAGATGCAGTAACATGAGTTAGGAATGTTAGTGGCCTTTATGAATGATAATCTATTGCATTTGTTGTTTTCTTGTTAATGTGGAGTTTATATCAAAATGAACTAGTACATGTTAACAGTTCCTTGTTAACACTATGGAGTGTATTGTCACTGATATCTGTGCTGTGGGGATAAGTGACAGTCACAAGTGAGCTGCCAAGGGAGTCTTACCTGTTCCTGCATTAAAGGGCAGGATTTGGATGCAGGAAGTGAAACAGATGAGGGTTGGTTTTTTCTTTCCTGAGAGGAGGGGGTTTTGCTTATAAAGGGTTAGTTCAGGATTTGGCATTCCTCTTTAAGGGAGTGCTCCAGTAGAATTGGTACTGGCACATGGATGATGGGATAAGGAGCAGTGCACGTGCGCTAGCACCACATTCCCTGTCTATATTTACGCCGTTTAAAAGGACCACCAGTCTTGAGGAAGTCACTCTTGGAGGATGGGAGAAGATTGTTTATTCTTTGCAAAGACTTGAGTTTTGGCTTGCCTGAGACTGGCATTGCGGGTTCATAATGAATATATGTGATGGTAATCTGTGAAGTTTTTCGGTAGGAGTGTGATTGTGCAGCAAAATAATTTGGCTGCTGAGAAGCTATTGTGCATCTCTTTGCTTGCTACTGACATAAACCAAATTGGAATTATTGACCTAGAGTTAAAAAATACTGTGTCTTTATCTTAATTGTCTTAATCACCAGGGAGTATGAGTAATGCATATAATTTACATCAGATGTTTTGCAATGTGTTCATATTACTTGTTATACTTCTCTTGTAAAGAAGGAAAAAGCTGTAATCTCTAGGCAAAGAATAGGGTAACACCTGATTTGTTTACACTGAGAAAAATATGTCTGCGTTTAACTTGCACACGCAAACTCATTTAACAAATTAAGCAGTAATGCTATTATATATTAACATTATTTTGGTAGCCAAGCTGGAGCTGCATTGCTGGTAACTGTATTAACAAATTAATGTTAATATAAAATACTTACTTTTTAATTTATATTTCTAGAACTGTAAGTAATCTAAACTGTAGTGAGTAAATGTACTACAACTTAAGTGATTAGAAATTGAAACAAGCATTATTCAAGCATCAAAGGCATTGTCTGGCATTTTTGGGCAGGCATCTCTGGGAAAGGCAGAGATCAATCCTAAAACCTAAAAACCAAAATGGTAGTTTAGCATAAGCTAAATTTTTTTCCTCACATTTCATAAAGAAGACACCAACGGGAATGAAGCTGATTGACTACCAAAAGTAATATGGTTGGAAATATCATGACCTGTGTCTTCTCCACAAAGAATTTGGCTGGAGTTAACATAGCTTTATTGTAGTCATGCCTCAAAAATAAATATACATTTTTTTATAAAGCTGCGTTTTTTTTAGGTTGCGATATAATACAGGGATTAGAAAATTCACCATAGCAACGAACTTCCATTAAAAACTTCTGAATTTTTTTAATTCTTGTGGTAGAACAAGCGGTTCATTGCAGTGAATATTTTTAGTGTGTGGTTTTTTTTTAAAATTAAGTTAATTGAATTTTTTCCCCCAATTCTAATATTTTGTTTCCTAGCATGTATGCTTTGCAGGGAATGGAGGGTGCCTGGTTTTTAAACACCACTCTGCTTTTTTGTACATAGTGCACACTCCTGAAGTCTTTCAAATGCATTCAGAAGTTTATACAAAATAGACGTCGTACAAGTAAAATGCAAGTTTACCTTTCGGAGGTTCAACTCTAAAAACTGTAAAAGAAAACTTTGAAGCTTTAGAAACTTTATTTTTGTTAATTGTGGTGACTTCTGGGGTAATACACATTCCTTTCTTTACAAATGAAAAAGCCAGCCTTGAGATAATCATTAGTATTAAACGGATGACCATGAAATTGAACTGTAGGAAATTAAGTATTTCTGAGCCTGTAGCTCTGACCTGGCTGAATAGGTGATTTGTTTAATCCCTTTCTTGGCACAGTTGAAAAGAATAAATTTGAGAAGCGAGCGTGGAAATCTAATTTAGTGAAGTCAGTTGACTTTGATAATATAACTAAGTACATTGCATAGTACTGAGCAGACCATTCCCACTTTCTGCCTTGAAGTCCTCCTGTATTTTCTTACTCAGTTATGAGTTACCACCATTTGATGTGCTGAGCAGATGTCTCACTAAAGAGCAGGTTATGATAGGGTCAGCTGGCCCAATTCGATCTACTCTAGGGAGCCATTAGCTGAAAACTTTACTTTCTGAAAAGAGTATGTCTTCCTGTAATGAGTGTCTTATTTCTAGTATAGTTAAATTTAGATGTAACCATTAAGTTCTGCTATTTGTGTTAACAAGGAATGTAGGAGAGAAAATGGGATAACTGTGCAACTTTCCAATAGTACTTAACTGAAAGTATGATAAAAGAGTGTGTCCAAGTGGTCAGTAGAAAATGGGCTATATGACAAGCATGAAAAAGTTGCGATAAGAGATAGTATTGCTGTAATAAAAGGGTTTAATGTTTGTTGGAACCTTGTGTAACTTGAATGAGCACATGGCACTCACAGGCATAGAACCCATACCACAGACTACAGTAACATTTCTGTCAAAGAAATGGGAGGAATGTCACAGTCAGTGTGTAGTCAATAACTACAGTCGTGAATAGCTTAGCTAACATGGAAGTGAAGTCTGAATTTTGTATTTCTCTAAACTGTCATGAACTAATTACAACAAGAGAACAAAACCGAAAGCTTTTCAATGTTCCAGTTCTTGATATATTAAAATTGTTGTTGTGTTAAATGGCTTGATGGAACCTAATTTCAGAGCTCATTTGCTTATTGTAGTACCTTCTGTGTTACTGTAATTACATATTGTAATATCTTGCAAAACTTCCTTTCTGTTTTTAAGTGTGGAATTGCAAGCTGCATTTGAAATTCATACCTTATCACTAAATCTTGTGGCTATTTAAAATGCTATTTCTGTCATGAGTGTTAACAGGCTGTGAAGAGCTGGACTACAGCTTCAACGAGCAGGGCACAGTGTCTTGGTTTTCTTAATACTACGTTCTTTTGTCTTAATGTGTAGCTGTCATTTAAGATTTATTAATAGCAGTTGCTTCTTGAATGACAATGCAAATACAAGGCTGATAAAGGTTAGCAATTACTTTGATTGTGAAGTCCTAAAAGAATAATTGTTTTGTTCCCTGCCCTGCGGTTTTAAGCACCACACAGCTGCTCGCTCACTCCCTCCCAGTGGGATGGGGGAGAGAATCAGAAGGGTGAAAGTGAGAAAACTCATGGGTTGAGATAAAGACAGTTTAAAAGGCAAAGCAAAAGCCGCGAACGCAAGCAAAGTAAAACAAGGAATTCATTTGCTGCTTCCCATCGGCAGGCAGGTGTTCAGCCATCCCCGGGAAAGCAGGGCTCCATCACATGTAACAGTTACTTGGGAAGACAAACGCCATGACTCTGAACGTCCCCCCTTTCCTCCTTCTTCCCCCAGCTTTATGTGCTGAACATGACGTCATATGGTATGGAATAGCCCTTTGGCCAGTTGGGGTCAGCTGACCCAGCCGTGTCCCCTCCCAACTTCTTGTGCACCCCCAGCCTGCTCGCTGGTGGGGTGGGGTGAGGAGCAGAAAAGGCCTTGACTCTGTGTAAGCACTGCTCAGCAGTAACGAAAACATCCCTGTGTTATCAACACTGTTTCCAGCACAAATCTGAAACACAGCCCCATACTAGCTACTACAAAGAAAATTAACTCTATCCCAGCCAAAACCAGCACAGAATGAAAGGTGTTTTGCCGTGTTGGGACCTCTCCTTAATGACACTGTAATGACTGCTGTACATGGAATACTTCAAACATTCCTTTTTTTTCCCTACACTGGAAGATTGCATGACTTCTGAAAAACTGTTGTACAGTCACTGGTTAATTTCTTGTTAAAATAAATACAATAAATACTCTCACTTTTCAAACTTTAAAGGTGTAGAATGAGTTTGCTTGCAGTGCTTTAAGTAGTAAAGTTAAAAACAAATCCAGCATTTTCTCAAGTCTGTTGTCATACAGACAGAAACTAACCAGCAAGTTTTGTCTGATGACTTTCTGCAGAGTGGAGAATGCCTGCACCAAACTTGTTCGGGCAGCCCAGATGCTGCAAGCAGATCCTTACTCAGTACCAGCTCGTGACTATCTAATTGATGGATCAAGAGGCATCCTTTCTGGAACGTCAGATTTACTTCTGACATTCGATGAAGCGGAGGTAGGAATCCCAACATGACTGACATAGGTATCTGCACAGTAGTATTACTAATTCAAATATCCACCTAACTGAATTAGCTAATCTAAACTATTGAGTAGATGAAGGTGTGTTTGATCGTTTTAGCTTGATTGGAAGCATATTTTGCATTCCTTTCTGTCAGAAGGAGCTTAGGCATGTTGCTCTGTTTTGTTAAGAGCATCTTTGTATGACATAATGTTTAGGCGTTGCCTGTGATTATTCCTCAAAAAGGCCAGATCCCATCAACCCTGTCTTACATCTTGCTGACGCTTTTCTGTATTCCCTTCACCATACCCATTACTGATCCTTATGTTCTCTGTATCCCTTCACTGAAAAGCCCTAGGCCACTTCCTAACATGTCTGTCTGACTCATTAGCTGTGGCAATTTAATTGCCTTGGGGCATGGGAGGTAATACAAATTTGGACTGTCTGGCTGGTTAGCCAGAAAATATGCTCTGATAGAGGTAACAGTTGCTACATTTTGGCTTCTTCACAAGCCAAAAGGCAGCTCAGCGGTGCTGTTTGTCCATCCTCAGATGGACAAAAAAAGCCGGAGTTGCAAGGAAACTTAAAAAGGAGGTTTTGAGTGTCTTATATTTGAAAATGTTTCTTTGTTACAAATCTTACTTACTCTTGTGATCATCTTTCTGGGAATGTGGAGTCTTCCTCGTTTCTAAATAGCAAATATCATGCTATTATAAGGAAAGGAAGCTCACACTGTTAGAAATGCTGATGTTAATTCTAAATTTTACCCGTGCAACAATCTGTTAATCTATGAAATTGTGTTATTCTTCCTGCTGTTCTGAGTAGTCTAACATGGCATCCTTGTCTTTCCTTTAATCAGCTCATGGTACTGTTAGCACATTCCTCTGAAATGAGAACACTATGGGATTTCTCTGTGGCACTTGTGATTACATTATTTTAAGTGTTTTTTAATAGATACTACGAAGTGTTATAGGACAGAATTGCAAGGAAGTTAATAGCTTTTAATCTTCCTGCTTCCAGTGTTTGGGAAATGAGTTGACTTCTGTGGAGTTAATGCTTCATTGAACTAGTCTCTGACAACTGCATGTTAACCAAAAAGAAAAATATTAGTCTGGAATGATTGACTTTTCACAAATACAAAACTTGGCATGTCTTTATCCTATGTTTCAAGATAAACTAACATTGGGACAAAACTGAAATGACTTTTAGAGGAAACTATGATCTATTCTGGGGACTGAACACTGCCTGTGGTTGATACGAATTAAATGTTAATTAACTCATTCTTCAATGAGAATTGTTTGTGGTGGTGTCAGAAATAATGTGGTTCAGGAGGTTAGAAGATTAACTGACAGAGAACTCTGTTTTGGAATCAAGTATGAACTGAAAAAGTTAAGCTGAGGCAGATGTCCAGAGGTAAATAAAGTACAGTCTTCATAGATTTTTCTGGAAAGCTTAAGATGTTGGATCTACCTTTCCCACTGGAATGCTGGATAATGCTTTATCCATATGCAAAGCTGTATAGTGAATAATATTTCTTCTGAAAGCTTGGAGTCTGCTTTCTATGTAGTTTTGCTTTGTGATTAAAGTTAAATTTTTTTTTTTTGATGAAATTGCAATGAAAAACTTCGAGCATGCCAGCATACTTAAATGCACTTCTTTATAACCTATTTTCTCAATGCTATCCTTCATTTATTGTACAACGTGAAAACACTGGAAGTAGGATTTTGCATTTCTGAGTAGTGGAATGCTGATTAAATATTGTCTTTGTCAATACAGCACTCTTCAGTAATGGCATTGTGGGTAACTTAATCAGTATCCCAGACCTTTGTGATTGCCCATACGTCATGTTAGCAAATGCTATACCTATTCTGTTCTAATAATAGGCTTGCATTTCTAATTCAAGTGTAACTTAGCTTCATCTAATAAATGATGTTCCTTTTTTAGGTCCGTAAAATCATCCGTGTCTGCAAAGGAATATTGGAATATCTGACTGTGGCGGAAGTAGTAGAGACTATGGAGGATTTGGTGACATACACAAAGAATCTAGGGCCAGGTTTGATTTGCTACAGCCTATCATAAACATACTAAGTATAGCCTTTTCCATTACCTTTTTTTCCCCCCAGCACCTTCCTCACCCAAATTTCGAGTGTTTGGAAAATGATAAAGCAGTTGCTTTGAAAGTGTCTGTTGGAAAGAGTTTTAAACTAGAGGGTGAATGATGACTATTTTCTGATTCACATTCTCTCTTAAGAATGCAGAAGAGTCAAGATTTTGGTAAATTATATGTACTACACAGATGATATGTACTGTGCTTTTCCTACGCTGTATTATATGAGGGAGGTAAGCATGCATTAGTAAGCGTAAAACAAAAAAATTGAAAAAGCTGTGTAATTAAGCACTCACAGCTATAAAGTCCGTTAAGCTGATAAAATATCCGTACTAACTGAGATGGTTAGGCCTAGTAGGAATTTCTTGGAGTAGTATAAACTACATATCATATGTTAACGTCTTAATGAGGTTGCAGAAATAGCTGACTTGCAGTATAATACAAAAGCACAGTTGTTACAAAAATTCTTTTTGTTCATTATTTGATGCTCCTTCACTACTTGTTACTTCACCGTGTTAACTCACACTTTCACAGGTGGAAGCAGGCTATTGATAAGTGAAGCACTAGGTTGCTATAGAGGAAACCTACCATTAATCTCTATCATCTACTACTCCAAATGCTTTAGTTTCAGCAAGCATAAAGTAGTTTAGGTACTTAACAAAAGCATTCTATAAAATCTAGATGTTGTGGTTGTAACGTAGGTAGACATTGGAATTAAAGTTACACTGAACTAAACAATGCTTATATAAACAGAGTAGGAATTCTAGTTGTTACTTTATATATATAAATAAGAATACATATGTAGCGTAAGAATAAGTAGCTCATAAATGGAATGACTATCAGCTCTCATGTCGCAGAGCATGTTTGTAGATTATCCTGGTTTTATTTAACATGTGTATACTTTACCCTGTTTCTGGATGTGAAAAACTTGTAAGTTCCATATGAAGGTATAATATTCTCTAAACTTTTTTTATGTCCCGTGAGAAGTTACCTTCAACTAAATAGACTTTGCCTCATTTTTGAACAGGAAAAGAAGAAGCAAAAAGGGCTATCTTCTCTTTCCATGAAACTTGTTCTTTTACGTAGTATACAATTTTAGTTTCTCTGTGGTCATTGTCTTCCATGTCTTTAAAATGGAAGTTTCCCCAAACTTTAGTTTACTCTATTTGGCTCAGTCGCAAGCATTTGGGACTTTTCATAGAACCTCACAGACATAATTTGCTGTTACATGTGTATGATAGAGGTAGGTGTTGGGCAAGTGTCTTAATTTCTTAGAAGTGAGATGTAGGCTTGTACCTTTATTGCAAATAATATTCTCTAAACTCATGCTGTTCTGAATAAATAGCTAATCTTGTGCTGCTGGCATGCTCTAGAAGCACTGTCTTTGCCTGAACTAAATGCTGCTCAACACTCACAACCCATGCCCACCAAACTTTTTATGCCTGTAGTTCTTGTTCCCTTCAGCTCTATCAATTGGGCATCTGAACTTAACTGTTAACGTGAGCGCTATATAAATAACAGGAATAGGAGCATGTACACTTAAAATCAACAAAGTGCTTATAGGTTTTATGTTGGAAGTAGAGAGGAGAACATGATTACCTATTTGGGCTTTTGTCATTTGAAAGGAAAGGTGGTTCTGCACAACTTACCCCTCTATGCTGTCAATGTGGGAATTCTACTACTTTTTAGTGTTGCAAGTAAAGCTCATTTAACCTTTTTGTTTTATTAAGATGCCTAAGATGCTAACCAGCAGAAAAGGAATTCAGCCAGAGAGTATACAACTTTCTTCCAGTTTTGCCCCCCTGTAGGATGGGACCACAACAGCACCAATTTAAATCAGCTTAAATTTTTATGAAGTTGCGTCTAAAATTTCCACATGTGCTGTGTGGTAAACCTCACAAGTCTTAGCTATTGAAAATAGATTTACTCTAGAATAAATTTAATTCTTTCCACACTTCTAGAGCACTGAAATATTTCTAGCAGAACTGAAGTATAAATAGATCCAATTCTTGAACTCTGGTAGAACCTCAAGGTAAACAAACAAACAAAACTGTGATGTTTCCTTTTTCTGCCATTCACAATTAAGGCTTTGATCAAGTCTTAACAGAAAAGGAGAAAAACCCTGTAAATTAGCTTCCAGATTTCATGAGGTGACTTCATCTCCTAAATGAGTCATTTCAGGTATTTTCGTATTTTACTGCTGGGATTTTAAATCAAGAATTTTGAGGATTCCATTCTACTTTGCATAGTGACTAGGTTTTGAATCAGTGGCTTCTCTGAAGCATCTGGAATGTGTTTTAAGTAACAGCTGCTAATATAAAAATTAAGTTTTAAACTTCAATACAGTTGTCATAACTTGTTACACTTTGTTCTTGTTTAGAAAGCTCAACTGTTGCAAATTAGACTTAGTATTACATTTCTTTATTTATGACAATGTTCAATTGCTTTAATCTTTAGGAATGACAAAGATGGCCAAAATGATTGATGAAAGACAACAGGAATTAACTCATCAGGAACATAGGGTTATGCTGGTAAACTCCATGAATACCGTGAAGGAGCTATTGCCTGTACTTATTTCAGGTATTTTTGGCTTTAATTTTTAATATCACTCTGAATTGCTGTCTATTTTGAGCTAGAGTTCCAATGGCTTGTGTTTAAAAATAACAGCCTTGACATTGCTTCTGTACTGACTGCAAATAACTGTGCTTCTTGTATTAAAACTACAATCTCTTTGAGATAAAATGGTCCATGCAAAATAAAATGTACTACCTCTGTATTAATGCAATAGGAGGTCACCTTGAGCATTGATTGTGTCTTGCATGTACCTTTTTCTAATCTTTGGTATTTTCACAGCTATGAAGATTTTCGTAACCACGAAAAATTCTAAAAGCCAGGGAATAGAAGAGGCATTGAAAAATCGCAATTTCACAGTAGAGAAAATGAGTGCTGAGATAAATGAAATAATCCGTGTATTACAACTCACTTCCTGGGATGAAGATGCCTGGGCAAGCAAGGTATGTTTCACACCTACATTTGTATATAGAAGTCTAATTTTTATTTACGGTGTTGTACACTGTATAAACTTGTGTTTTTGAGACTGTTGAAATGTGTATTTGTGCATCAGTTTTGTAACACTTCGTAATTGCATTGTATAATCTCTTCAAGGTCAAAGAACATCTTCAAAGGTGATTGTATTAATGTATCTTTCAAAATTAACTTTCTCTCAATAAGTTAAAGGAGTGTGGCATTTGAAAGTGGCTCAGTGGCTACATAATCATGTTTGACAGAGGATAGTTAGGTAAAAAGCTATCGTTTTATACATTAAACTGGTTTTGTAGCTAGGCATTCATAAGTGAGATTACCTGAGATTTTTCTCCTAGGTATTACTAGAAAAGATAGGTTGCTGTCATATTGCTTGTGCAAAAGGCCTGAAGTTGAGAAGATATAGTCAATTTTTGGAGATCTCTCCTTGAACACTTCCTCCTTTTCCCCCTGCCCCATTTTTAGTCTGGACGTGGGAGTAAATTTCAAGTGTTTGCCTTGTCTCAAAGAAATACATGTTAGATTCAACAGCCTTTCTGGATAAGTATGATGTCTGTGAAGCTGGCATATAGACAAGTATTGGTTCCTTACAACTCAGTGTTAAGCTGTGCAAGTGACTGCAACCACTTACCTGGCATTAAGTGGTGCTCTTAAGTGATACCCACTGAAGATCCTGAAATGTCTAGCAGACCGTAAAGCAGGTCTGACAGACAGAATCATAAAAGCGTTGTTGTGGGCTTACAAATAAATGTAATTGCATAACTGAAACTCCTGCCAATTTTTTTGAGTACCTTGAGGTAAATTGCTGAAGGGATTTTTTTAAGGGTTAGTGCTATAAGCAACAAGTAACTGTAAATATATTTAAAGAAAATACTGAGACCTCAAGCCAGACTTATTAACAAATGAAATCTTGCAGAAAATCTAACATTGATGTAATCTAGCCATTAAAATCACTTTGGCCTATATTGTTTGGCACTTGACCCTTAGTTTGCCTTTTGAGTTATTTTGTCACTATCACTTTCTTATTATGACTACTTCATGCATCTTTGTTTTTGTTCTCCTGTTTCTTACCCTTTTCTCACCTTTAGAAGGTAAGCTTTCTTCCACACCCTACACCTCTACCTTGTACTAAAACCAAAAAAGCATGTATGTGGGATTTTGTGCTGTGTGCAGACTGTGTGCTGTGCAACTTTTTATTTCTGTGCCAGCTGTGACACCATACTTATGTATATACACACGGATGTTTTAAAAGGATCTTAATAGCTCTGTCTAGCTACATGTAGAATTGGCTGTCACTAAGAGAATGGTAATTGCAAGTTGAACTGCATTAAGACTGTCTTCTGAGTCTGATTAGAGTTAGCCCAAAATTTTAGAGCACATTCTTGCTGAATGTTTTTGTGTTAATTCATGTTACTAGTCCCTGTAGCTACAAATAAAGGGTCCAGTCATGCAGGAACAAGCTTTCTGCATGCCCAGAAAGCTTTATTAAATCAGAAATTTTGTCCATTCCATAGTATTTCACCAGCAGCCTTCCTTCAGTTCAAATGGTTTGTGTTCTTCAGGTCTTGGCCCAAAACTTCAATTTTGTATATGCATTTTTTCAGTTTAATTTTATTTTTGGATTTAAGCGTTCCTGTATTTTACAAAATACAAATACAGTTTTGTTTTATTTTACACAACAAATTTGGAAATTTTCATAGTAAAAAAAAAATGACTGTTGCAAAAAGTTGGCAATTTAGCCATAGGAAATTCTTACTTCTCTTACTAGTGAGCCAGATTAATAAAGGATTTTGTTAAGAAAATAGTTGGCGTATTAGCAGTATTTCCCAATGGAAAATATTGGTCATTATGCGTAATGCATAAATATGTTGTATGGACTAGGATAATCAAAGTATCATTCTGTTCTGAGTTGAGAACTACTTAATTGTATTTTGTTTTTTGAAATAAGGTATGCTGACAATTTCGAACTGTAGCACTGGCCATTTACCAAACACTTATGACAAAGAATTTGAGTTGAAAAATGCAGTGGGATGAAGCAGCAGGAACTAGTTTGCTAATGGCCGCGTATTACAGACCTTTTCCTGTGTTTGCATATATATCTAACAGTTGACTTACTCATTATTTTTCTGGGAAGGAGAGGGAGGAGCTCTTTAATTCTGTTTGAGGTTACTGTTGCATGCATTTTGTGCCTGGTGGTCAAGGGAAAAGATATTTTCCTCATGCTTTTCTGGAGCAAAGTAAGGTGTATTTGGAGATGCACAGCCTTGAATTTTAACCTGTGTAGTACATGCTCCTGTTGATGTTGGAGTTTATTTTATATTTATTATTCTATCTTGAATTGTTTATACATCGAAGTGTCACAAAATCTACCTAGAGATAGTGGAGAATGAACAAGTATATGGAACCAGAGTTGTAGGCTTTTTTGTAAACTATTTTGTTGGTCTTTCTAGACTCTGAAATGCACATTACTGTTACTGGATTGCAATGATCTCTGCTTGCACCAACGCTGGATTTTTTAAAATAGTATGCTGATTTGTAATTGAAATACCGAGCAAATACTGATCTCTAACAAAATCTTGGGAGGGAGGGGGATCCTGTATTTATTTCTTCCATTCAGTGCTTTGTACCTTTTTTCCTTGAACTTTTCATTTTACACAGGGGTTTAGCTTTCTCTTGTATATTCTTAGTGTTTGTTTTTAAATAAACTTGAAGTAATACTCAATTCAAACATCTTCCATTTCCATGGAAATGGAGGGAGTTAAAAGTTGTAGGAAGCTGAGACGTATCTAGTAACTTGCAGGATTGAACCCTTGATGGTGACTAAGCTGTCTGTTCTGCCAGAAGGCTGGCTTTGCCTATTTCCTTCAACATTGCCTTCTTTGGTAATGAAATGCAGATATCACTAGACTAGATCACTTTATTGAGTCAGAGGTTAGTGATCATGTAGGATTTATTTTGCTCCTTTTCAAAGCAGTGCCAATACCAGCTGCTCCATGAATAATCTCAAAATTCTTGGTAGTGGCAGAAGTGATACATAAAGGTATCTTGAGTAAGTGCTCATTTGCTTTAGGAACTGATTTTCAAAAAGCCAACTTGCTCCTTTTCCTTCAGACAATGTTGCCCTGGTCGTTTAACTTGATTAACATAAGTTGTTTATGTCCTCTGAAAAGGTAATAGTGCTGCTTTTGTTAATGAAATTCCTTTTGCCAACAGGGGAACTCTGGGGAAAGGAGGGAAAGAATCCTTTTTTGCTGATGAAACTATGCTATATGAAACTTTTTTGCAGGATAGCTGTAGGATTTTTTCTTTTCTTGCTTGCAACTGATATTCTGCTGGCAAATCCCAAAGAGTAAGATTTTAAACATATTTAGCTGTTTAGGAAGGAACAAGGCATTTAAACAGCTCCAGAAATCAGGAATATCAAGACATTTTCAAGCAGTAAGACCTTCAGCAAGTTGCTTTGTTTTGTTTAAATTGAGTATTTCTACCTTTGTCTTCCTGCTTAATAGCCTGAATTGGTGGCAAAGTCCAGACATTTCAGGATTGCTACACCTTTGTGGCTTGCCACGTATCTGACACCAGACACAACTGTGGCAGAAACAAAAGCGCAGTACCAACAAACCTAGTTAAGGATAAGTTCTAATTTCCTATTTAAAAATTACTTGTCTCATTGCAATGAAAACTCCTTACCAGTCTAAAGCTAAGAGGGATTCCTTGCCGTGGCAGTTTGAGCTGTGAAGATGTGAAATCTGTGCTTTAAGAGCAGTTGTCCTGGAACACTTCGACTGCTACACTAGGATTTAAATAGGAAAAGGGGACAGTATTTTGCAAACATGAGTGCAGAGCCACGCAGGATAGCAAGATTTACTCTGCAGAGCCATCCAGTTATACAGCCTTCATATCATAGACAGATGGATCCTATTATTGCTTGGGTAGTGCTAGCAATTACAAAATCATGAGTGTAAAAGCTAAAATACCCTTGATTTTGTCCCCTGATATAAGACTTTAGATTCAGAGGCTTTTATATAGTTTTGCTGAAACTGCAACTCTGCAGGCAGCTGAGAACACAAAAGCCTGTGTTAGTAAAAAGGGAGGGGCAAAGACAGTTTTCCCAACACTTTCCTTTCCTCAGCCATCCCACACCTATCATCTCATCAACACACTAAGCAACATCTGTTGCCTTTTTAATAATTCAGTTAGTTCTTTGTTTCAAATTATTTCTGGGTAGACAGGCCTGCAGTAGACCTTGATTCCAAACTAAAGTAGCTTCAGTCCGTTTATAAAACAGAAAACTGTAACACCTACCTTCACAGCTAGTAAGGTTTTTATATACATTTGAATACTTCAGTGATTATTTACTTGTCTCTTGTCATATAGTAAATGCACAATTCTAAAGCTATAGAGAAGATGACTTTTAAAAGAATGTGCCCACCTCCTACCCCTAGCTGCATATCTTACCCTTTTGAAGTTTTTTCAGACAGGTCCTGACCTAAGCTCTGAGATCCAGTTTCTAGATTTGAGAACCGACCTTCCAGGTGAAAATGATCTGCTTTTGGTGCTGTCTCTCAGGCTGTGATTCAAGAGCCCTTAAAAATATGCAGCAGAGTGTTGCATGACCATTTGGAAAGTTGGTTGCTGAATTATATTATAGCACCTTATCAGCAGCTGACAGACCAACATGCCTGAATAAAAATGGCTTAAATACCAAAATGTTTACAGTGGTGTATCTTTGAGACTAAGCACACAGAATGAACAACTCCACAAAAATATAGCAGTTCTTTAGTGTTGTCAGGATATCACACAGTGTACCAGGTACTGATTGTTGATGCTATTAAGCTCTTCTTCATAAGAGTTGGACATGGACAGTCCAATTCAGTTAATAGTGTGAGAGCCAGGCTTCTTTTCATCATCTGTGTAGTAATCATGGGATGTTAGATGCATTTCAAATTACTTCCATGACATATGTGGTAAAAAGCTATTTTGGCTTTTTCCCAACTTCTACTTAAGGTACTTGTTACTCTTTTCACTGTCTTTCCATTTGTACAAGATAGAAAACTTCTGCCCTCTAGTGGAGAGATGACACATGAACAATTAACAGAGTATGCAAAGAAATGAGAACTGGATGGTTTTATCTCCTCTAGTCAAAGAGAAGTTGAATAATAGTCAAAGAAGCAGCTTCTCTGATGCTCCTGGTAGAGAAGTTCCATGTTTAAAACCACATGTGAATACATTTATTTGTCTCCAGAGACATTAAACTCCATATTTGAGAATTCCAGGAATTAGCTAGCAGTCTATTTTTCTGCATATAGTAGCTGTTTGACTTTAAGCAGCAGAGCAGGTGAAAAATGCAGGTGTGCAACCTCTTGCACAGAAGTAAGTAGTAAAATTCACTGGCCAGTTTCCATTTTTGAAAAGTTTACTCTGATCTCATTTTACAACTTTTCTACGTGCCCTGATGTACATTAAGGAAAAAAATGGAACTAACTCCAAGATGTGTGCTTATTAGAGCTCTGATTTTAGAAATTAAAACACTAGTAAATAAAGGAATAGAAAAATCACTAAAATTGCATGCATATTTTCTGCATTTTGAGTGAAATGAAAATGTCTGTCTTAATTGGAAAGAAGTGATTATGACCTGCTAGTTTGAAAATGGGTTTTGAGCTGCTTATATGGGTGTGTTTCTGTAAGTAGACTGTGCTTTGTAGAACTTCTGTCTGCTTTGGCTGTGTGGGCTATTTGTGCTTTGATTATTTTGAGAATCATTTTGGTGGTTTCTCTTTTGTAAAGGACACTGAAGCCATGAAAAGAGCTTTAGCCTTAATAGATTCAAAGATGAACCAGGCAAAAGGTTGGCTGAGAGATCCAAATGCACCTCCAGGTAATATTAAAAAAAATAATAGCACAAAGTATTTTGATTTTTTAAAGGTCTGAATAATTCTGTTGTGTAAGACAAAATTGCCTTTAAGCATTAATAACCCATATGTAGTGGATCATTCAGAAGGAGCCTGTATTTACTCCTTTCTTCAGATACTAGAGATTGAACAAGTTGTGTCTAATGACCTGGAAAGCTTTGCTGTTTTTCAATTGTCTAAATAATATACTCTGTATAACATACATGGTTTTTCTTTGCATTCCATTAGTAAAAACAAAAACCCATAAATTGCATTGAACAGTATTTAACTACAGTGGTTGCTAATACTTAAAATCCCTCCTTCTGTATTTTCAAATTTGTATAAATTTAGATTTGCCTAACAATAATCTTTAAGTGTTTATCTTTCAGTCTTGACATAAAATTTTTAACGTGAAAATCTGCCATAAATACTGTTAACTACAGTCACCTTTACTTATATAAAGGTCTTGCCATTGTATGCATCTTTAAAGCAAATAAAACTGCATAGAGGCCTGTTCCATTTGGACTTTGAAAGACCTTATCTGAAAGACTTCCTCTGAAATCGAAGCCGAAATAACACAGTTGTAGAAGTTGGAAGTGAATGTTGTTATCTGGGGAGCTGCTGCTTATACTACTTCTGACCTCATTCCCCTTGCCACAATCAATTCCAGAAACCTCAAAGTTATTTTAAAAGCCTTCTGTCATTGACACTGACAATTAATGAAGTAAACTATTAAAAATTCAGTAGCTAAGGACAAATGCAAAGATAATTGTAGAACTTACTGCAAATCAGATTTTACTGGGTGTGTTACTTAGAAATAACCTCATAATATGTTTGTCATTTGAGGGTTCCTTATGGTAGGACGACTTTGAGCCAATTTCATTATTATAATTTCATGGAGGAACCAGTACTTTATGGATACTGGCACCTCCACTATCCATAATGCTGGAGGATGGACTCAGGGTGGGTTGCAAGTAAAACGGATGTTGTTCTTGCATCTTCTTTAGCCAAAATCAAGTCAGATTTGCAACTGGCTGAAGTTAAGGCTACATGAATCTTCCTTCTTAGCCTGAATTACAGATTCTATAAATGAAGTATTTATAGAAATTAAGCTATCGTAACAGAATGATTAAATGACTTGAAATACATGGCACGTGATGCACATTAAGGCTATGCTATATTGTTTCAGAAATACTGTCCCATTATAATTACCACATTTGATGTATATCTCATAGTTTTTGATAAATGTTTTTTCATGGCTGAACCTAGTGCAGTTAATGTGGTGGGACATGATGATACTAGCGGTTTACTCATACATGTCAAGGAATGTCTTGTTTGTTTTACTAACTGACTCTGCATCTTAGGGGATGCTGGTGAGCAAGCAATAAGGCAGATCCTTGATGAAGCTGGAAAAGCAGGAGAACTGTGTGCAGGCAAAGAACGCAGAGAGATTCTGGGAACATGCAAGACGCTGGGCCAGATGACTGATCAACTGGCTGACCTCAGAGCTAGGTAAATCTATTACTTTTTATGGACAATTTTCAGTACTGTTAGAACAGATTTTCTGAACTTGCAGTTGTGTCACTTCCTAACCTGTAGGAGAGCAGGCCAGTACCTGTATTTTGCCTTTTTTGCTTCAATCTCTTCTGATAAGAATAATATGTTTTAATAAGTGGAGTCTTTAGTTATGTAACATGATGAGCAAAATTGCACAAGTAGAGCATCTCAGCAGCATGCTTGTCATCTTTCCACTTACTATGGTCTTTAAGTTAGTAGTTTGAGAAAGTTAACATGCTCAAAAAGCTTTCCAGTAGTCAGGTTATTTTGGAATGGAGTATGAGATTTCTTATGCAAAACTAACATTCTGAGGCCTATGTATTTGAAGTAATCTTTCTATCCAACTTCTAACTCCTAAGCATTTGAATGAACAGAGGTAGCGCTGCAAATTGTTTTCTACAGTCCTGTAAATTTGTATTGCTAGCATCCTTTTCACCATTTTAAGAAGTCTTACCAATAGCCTGTAACCTTTAATCCACTTTGTCATCATGACTGAGGCAACTAAGACATCTTATTTTCACTTACAGACTTGCTGTCCTCACTTAGGTATGGCGAGACGTAACTCCTGCAGGTTCTGACTGACTTGCAGCAATATGTAAATGAGGAGATACCCAGGCCTTGCCCTGGGTACTTTAATGGAATTGTATCCTCAAGTAGTATTACTTTGTGACACTTAGAAAAATGTTCATTCTTCTGAGGATGCTAAATGTCAAATTCTGGAAAGGGGAAAATATGCTCTTAGTTTTAAACATTTCTTGTTGTGGTGTTCCTCCTGAAGTTATTTTTGTTTTCCCAGGAAAAAAAGATCTGATTAAATACTGTATCTCTTGCAATAGTTGCTGGGAATGCTCATAAACAGTTTTTGTTACCTCTTCTTTAGAAAAAGCTTTGTTCAGTCCTGAGCTGAATCTGTGATGTTCTTTTTGTCTTGGGCAGAGGACAGGGTGCTACACCCATGGCTATGCAGAAAGCGCAGCAGGTCTCACAAGGTCTGGATTTGCTCACTGCAAAAGTGGAGAATGCAGCCCGCAAATTGGAGGCCATGACAAACTCTAAGCAGGCAATTGCTAAGAAGATTGATGCTGCTCAGGTACCACTGATGATTTCATAAATACTTCAGAACATGATTACATTACTGCTGTTAGAGCTGTTATACTGAACTATCATGGTTGTTTCCAAACACAACACAGTTACTTGTAGGAAGAACGTATAGGGGATACTTGCTTTTACACATAAAAATCTTTAAACTCAGTAATTTACAGGGTGCTGTGAGTTTTGCTAGAGCTTATGACTTTTTTTTTCGTAATTTTTTTAACATTACTAAAAATTTCAAGGTTGTGAAATTAAAATGAGGAAACACCCTAAATTTGGACATAAACTGATCTTATCAAAGAAAAAAGTAGAGGAGTTTCAGACTGCACAGATTTACCTGTGAGTAAAACCAGAGCCCTTTCCTTGGGCTCTGCTTTAGGAGTGGAGTTCAGGATTTAAAACTTCATGTTCATGACAAAAGCAAAACAATGTTAATGAAACTTTTTCTTTTAGTTGATGCTTTATTTTTGTAGCTGTTAAAATCTCCCTCAATGGTCAGCCTATTACCCAGTGATGATGATGGCCATCAAATAATGAACCTCGATATATACCTTATCTAAATGTGTTATGTGTATATAATTATATAT